AAAAAATGTTACGAAACTTCAACAACACTAAATACTGTGAGAATTTCAGTATACGTCAGCGTATTGCCAAACTATTTTAGTAATACAAAATACTGTATACGTTTGTTTTGCAAAGCTGACGAAGATCGTTTTAACAAAAAAAAATTGTTGAGCGAATCCATATCAAATGTCACCTGCTGTCATATTTAAATTAAAATTTGTTCATTCTTAATAATAATAGACTTCAAATTTGGGTTCGGAAGACAGGACGATTCTTCAAATTCTGTACTATTACATTTAGAAATAACTTAAGTGTAATTTTTCCAAGTACATTTTAAAGACGCTAGACTTCAGTAATGAGACGAAAGTATATCCACATTTTAATAGCACTGGGCTTACAAACTTAGCACAATACATAATTTATATATACACCTGACAAAAATGTTTCAGTTATACGGTGTCTGAGCATTGGTTAAATATATGGAAGGCATTATTCCTTACGGAGTAGCCAGGTTGAAGCTCACTGAACGCCACAAAATGAATCGGACCTGTCATAGTTATCCAAAACTACATTTAAAACGTAGCCAAAAAAATTGAGATGCATGTATATTAGATATTTGAAGAGGTATCCAGGTTGTTCGGGGTTTGTGTTTAAATAAAAAGACCTATACAAACAAGTTTAAATTTATGCAATATAAAAATGACTAAAGCAAGTATAATCCAATAATTTAGTCCCAAATGTTGATAGACATACGTAAACACTAAATTAGGAAGTAGGAATAAATATGTAACTTCTTTGAGGAATCTCTTCCTTGAATTTATTTTTGAAAGATCGAATTAAGTAATCTAAATTAATGCGAATTTTCTTTGAAATCAATCACATAGATCCTGAGTATTACGGACAGACATGTAGAAAATTCATTTTACTTGTATAGATGAACAAACCTTTCATTCATTTTCTTTTGTGAATGAGATACCATGTACAAAATTGGGAGTAATAGAATGTGTCTGGTTAAATGATCAACTCTTTTACATATATGGTGCGGCAGAAATAAGAGAGGACCCCATTGCCACGAATATGTTACTCTAAAGTGGTGCGTATTTCGGCAACTCTCTCTCTCATATATATATATACGGACACACAGATATTGAACTTCTAAAATAATAGGTCGCGCATCTTATAGTACAATTATGAGAGCTCGCCTTCCCAGATCATTGTCCAGAGGGAGTAAGTGTAATGGTGTATGACGCCTGCTCATGTGTATCCATAGACAATGATTTTGGAAAAAACACGTCCAGAAGACATTATTAGTAGCCTGATGATAATTTGGAGCACCAGCCCCCGTGTGTTTTGTGTGTTTATATATATATATATATATATATATATATATATATATATATATATATATATATAATGCACTTTCATGATCTGAAATCATAGCTCAATACCAGTATCACTTAATCTAAATATTGATATTAGCAAAGTTATTCATGTCTATCAACGCTTGCACACGAGTTCATATATAAGCACCAATGTTAAATCCCATACTGCCTCCAAGACTAAGTCTAAGCTCTTGCGTGTTCCAAGGAATATTGCCTGAATCTGTGCCATTGTACTTACTGAAATACTGATGATGCGCTTATAGATAGTGGCTTTTATGCTTATTATAAATAATAATAATAATATATATATATATATATATATATATATATATTGTGTGCCTATTCGTGGGCGGAGATTTGGGACTAAATGTAGATCTGTACATTTACGTATTCATACATGAAGAAAGTAAATAAATTGTGTATGTATCTGAATATATTTTATGAGAGTCTGTATGAATATACACTTATAAACATAGTATAGTAAACATCTACATAAAATTATGTGCGTGTATCTTATGTGAAACTAACATAGATATATTAAAATATTCATATGAATATTTTCACTTGTATGCATACACACATATATACAGGCATTCAATTTTATGCTAACAACTATTATTTCTATACATTTTTATTGGCTGTTTTGATGCTTGCTTTATGTTTGCCCCCTCTTGAATATCTACGTGCGTAAGTTCTCTGCAATCTTATTATATTATTTCAGATATATTCCCTCAGACGTTTGAACTAAGTGATTTCCTTTTGAGAACTTTGTGATGAACACAGACAGTTAGCAATCACCTACCACTCAAGAATTTTAAACCTTTACTACTTCACTGAAACATCTCTAAAACGAAGCCATCGTTATTTTTTTAGTCTTTTATTGGCTTTAACTCACCGACTTACACAAGGAAGTGATATCTCGACACTGTAAAATTTCTTAGAAATTATATCTTCAGAAATTTATAGTATTGTTTTCTTAAAACTAGTCGCTTTCATTATAGTGGTTAAAACGAGAATATCTCCTATTACATGAATTTATGCGTACTACTATTTTGGCATCTAGGCCCCACCTTTTTACTGTTGAAATAGTTAAATGCAAACGCCACTTCTACTTCTTTCTCGCACTTACTGACTGTGGAACTCCATTCCATTTACTTCCTTTCCTGCTAACTACAATCTTCAATAAATATATATGAAAGAAAGGTCTATTTAAATCGCCATCTTCTGTCTACTTGAATGACGTTCAATTTTACCTTTTCTCAATCGACCCTGGTACCATTTTTTTTTTCTCTCACTTACACTCTGTAACCTCCTGTGCACTTGTGACATCACTGGCTTTCTTGGGGCAAAAAGTTAAAAAAAAAAACAAAATAAGAAAGTAATGAAAAATATTTTTTGGGTGTTGCATGAATAAGTATCTTTTATGTCATGACGTAGACAGTCATAGCCCTCTCCAGTATCCCTTTTTCTTTCTTTTATTTTTACTAAAATTAACTATTTAGTCTTTGCCATCCGATGTTGTACTTGTTCAGTCATGCATTCATAGACTTGCGTTAAATAGTACTCATAATATTAGTCCTTAGTGCGTGAATTTTTGAGTAGGTACACATTTAATTATCATCTCTCATTTGCGTCTCTGTCCTTGGATAGAGTGCGCTCAGAGGCTTCTCTGTCAAAAGAACAGAGGGGCAACTGAGAAAATTATACTGAGAGGTGCCCAGTTCTGGGGAACAGCCGCCCGAGGCCGCGCCCTCCCATTGCACCATAGGGAAGGATCGGCGCTCGCAACGAGGCCAGTGCAACCGACGGTTGCGTGGGCTGAGGGGAATTTTTGTTCCTGTCCCGGATGTACGCGCTCGGGTCCCCACCTAAAAATGTACCTTGTGTCACATCTCGTCCTAGTCGGGTGACATAGTAAATACCGTAATATTAGCCCTTTCTTTAGAAGGAGCATTTTGGCATTCATTGACCGGGCAGTCAGTATTGTTTTCGATTGAAATGTATAAAATCTTTCTCTTCAATATATTTTTAGAAAAAAAAAATAAACATGTTTCACATGTCCAGTAGCTGTAATCGATCTTTCCAGTATTGATGAAAATTTACTTTCCAGTCTTTTGACTGGAGAGGTGTGGAATGTTAACATCTTGATTATGGCGTTACTTTCTCTTCGAATTGCATGTTCTAACCAATTTAGTAGTTGCTGCTGATGTTAGCCTGCAAAGGACGGGATTCCTGTTATTGTTACAGTTGTGTGTAGAGTGCCGCTAAGATTTTTGCCAAAACCCAAGACACCTCAGTGATTCTATCTGCTTCTCTTGCCTTGAATATATAATAGGAGTTTAGATTCAGAAAGCCATTTTTTTGATGCATCGCAGAAATTTCCACCGAATCTTTCCGAATCTAATGTCATTTTTATAGCATTAATTATTTCTCCCAAAACGTTCACGTTTCTTACATTTCCTCGCTCTTTATTAAGATTTCTCAGAAGATATCATTGTTTCTTCATGTCTATTTAGTCCTATATTATATTTTACACGTCTTCTCAGATCTTTTTCATATGTTTGCAACATTGACTTAGTTTTTTTTAATGCTTTACTTAGTTACTGTAAGCATTTGACTGTTACTATGCAGTATTGTTTATTTCGAAGTCTACTGTGCCGAAATGCTTACAACCTTAACAGGGAGCTCACACTTTATTTTCATTACGTTGACTATAAATATTTTCCTCTCTCGGAGAAAGATAATAAAATACAAATGAATGAATAATTTCCAGGAATATCCCTATAATTCATATCTGCATATTGATAGTCTGATTGCATACAAATATACGCGCAAGAACACATACGCAAATATTGTGCATATATACACATGCTATATTTTTGGATTAATGTGCTTAGTAATAGAACGTATGCAAATAAAAAAAAAACGGACATAGACATCCAGCGGTGACAGTCTGCACAATGATATCTCTCTCTCCCTCATATATATATATATATATATATATATATATATATATATATATATATATATATATAAATAATTCCTTTTCAGGAAATTTTAAGACTGAATCGCTTGACAACCGACATATTTGATTTGGTTATAGTAGTACGGGCGTGTGGAGAACTCCTTACACTTATTCAAAGAACATATAACAGATAAACGGTGCACATTTTGATAAGTCTCAATATATATATATATATATATATATATATATATATTTTAAGACTTATCAAAATGTGCACCATTTATCGCTTATATATATATATATATATATATATATATTATAAATTTTGGAGACTTTCTCTCAAATTGTGCGCCATTTATCTGTTATGTTTTTCGAAAAAGTGTAGTTGGTTCTCCACACGCCCGTACTGCTATAATCAAATATGTCGGTAGTCAAGCGCTTCAGTCCTGAATATTTTGTACCTCGTACATCAAGGAACTGCCCATATATATATATATATATATATATATAGAGAGAGAGAGAGAGATAGAGAGATTGTAAAATATGCTATATTTATAGATAATAATGCTCAATATCAGAGATAGTACCTATGCAAAAATTAGAAATTTGAACATTGAGATCAAAACTGAGTGGCTTCAGTCTGCTTCATGCTTGAACGTAACACTTTACAACGATGAGATCACAAAAGCAACACGAAGCCAAATGCCGTGTTCACGTTGACCCACACGTCCATGAGGACGGCCATCAACGATTCATTCGTTCTATAGTTAGTCCTATTTCAGATCAGTGTAGTCCAGTGCCCTGGAGGATTAATGCCAGATGTGCTAGCCAGCCATATGCGAGTGACATGTTCGCGTAAATTTTCGTTAGCTACAGAAAGAATAGGAAAGAAAAAAGAAAATCATGCGCTGCCCTCTTATTGTCATATTCAAGATATTACTCGTAACGAAGGAGACAAAATTCAAATAGGTTCAAATTGGTATTCATTTGATAGAATGCAATCTTATTCTATTCATTGAAAATTGTTTCGAATTGAATGAATACGTGCAAAAGGCATCATTATAAATGAAAGTCGTCTTTTTTAATGTTCATTAAATTAAAGTTATGTAAAGGGGAAAATAACGTCTCTATTGCGTTTATGATGCGAAGAGCGAGAAGAAAAATTAATTATCAGATGTTGCACCAATTACATAAAAGATTCAAGTATTGATCAGAAGCATTCTTTGCAATTAGCGTTTTTATTGTTATGATTATTAGTAATAATGGAAGTATTATTATGAAGATGCCCTAATATTAAATTTATATAATACTGATGATCATATATAAAATAAAATGTCGATAAGATAAAGACATAACTGAAGTTGGGATTCTCAATACTAACGCTATAATAAATGTTAAAACGTCATTGATTGTATGTTAATAATAAGGATGATGATAATAATCATAATAGGTTGATAAGAAAATAAGGATAATATTGATTATTACAATTATAATGATAATGACAACCTTAATAATAATTTCTATTATTCTTATAATAATGACGATGACAATAATAATATGAATGATAATAATCATTATGATAACCATGGTAATATAAGGATAATAAAACTGATGAGTATACTTATCTTCATAATAATAATGATGACAATAATAATATGAATGATAATAATGGTAATATGATAAGGATAATAAAATTGATGAGGATACTTATCGTCATAATAATGATGATGATAGTAATAATATGAATGACAATAATGATTATTATAATCATGATATTATGATAAGGATAATAAAATTGATGAGGATACTTATCGTCATAATAATGATGATGATAGTAATAATATGAATGACAATAATGATTATTATAATAAGGAAAATAAAATTGATGAGGATATTTTCATAATGATGATATGAATTAGCCAAACTTTAAGGAAAATGAAGAGAAAATTGACACTTATCAATTATTTAAAATTGCTAGGACAAAACAAGGGAGACGACATTAATAATTTATTTTTTAATCATTTCCCCCGAATGAAGGCAACAAAGCCACTAACACGTAGGGGGAGTTACTGAGTGTGAAAGGATGTAGAAAAAAACATTAAGGAGCGATAACAATAAAAATAACATGAATTAAACAGACAGAAGATAATGATTGACATTGCACTTAAATTTTTTGAAGATCAAACTTGACTGGAAGGAAAGAAGCCGTAAGAATTCCACAAGTAAGAAATGCTAGAAAATAAACTGATAACGTAGAACTTAGGGTTACATCTAGCCATTTAAACTGTAAAATAAGATCTTGTCGCCAATTTCTTTCTTTTTATGTGCCGTGTCCTTTCAGGACGTAGGCAATCATGGCTCTCCACTTCCCCCTATCAATAAGATTTGTCCCTCCGCTAACTCCTCAGACTACGTGCTGTCATCCACTTGCTTAAGCCCGCCAGGTATGTCATGCGTAGCTTTCCCTTGTCCATCTTTCCTTCTATTCGACTTGTGAGTATCAGATTCTCCAAGCCCTCTTTTCTCATCAATGTGTACCAGAAATTTCAACTGTTTTTCCTGGTGTTAAGTATAATACTCCTCCTTGTTTGCCTCCTCTCAGAGACCTCATCGTTGCTCACCCACTCATTCCATGATATCCTCAGCACCCTTTTGTAGAACCAAATCTCCGTCGCCTCGATTCTCTTCTTCAACTGTGAGGAGATGGTCTAACATTCGCTGCCGTAAAGATGGACAGATGCAACAGCTCAGTACTTTTTTCTTTGTTACAAAAGAAATTCTCCTGTCTCGCAATACTCTGTCCATCTTCTAGAATGCGTTCTTGGCCTCTCCAGTACGTCTACGTATATCAGTGTCGCACTTACCATCGTCTGTTAAAAAATTTCCCAGTTGCTTAAACTTCCGCACCTGCATGATTTTAGTGTCCCCGACCAGCCAATTGTATTTCGATCTCATCCTTTTACTGATGACCATGCATTCTGTCTTCTTGTAGTTTATGCTTAGTCCCTTCTTCTCGCTCTCATTCGTTACCTTCTGCAGGAGGTTTTGTACTTACTTTTCCGTATCTGCTGTCAGTACTGTCATCTGCGTATTTTTTGTTGTTAAGATTGTGCCGCCAATGCTGAATCATGGTAGAATTTCCATTTCTCTCAGAAATTGCCTCGCAATTACCATTAAATTTTCTATAGGAAAGGAACAGTAACGGTTTGGATTGAGGAATCGGAGAGCCTAGTTTGAATTCCCGTCGAATCCATTACATTCACTTACGTGCTAATACCCTTGGAAAAGGTATGAATCCTCTTTTTTCTCCTCACATCTATGGGTAAATAGCAGAACAGACCAGGATGGTGACTGGTCTAACGCAGAAAGAAACGACAACTTAATGCGCGAAAATTGCCTTGTCAGTCATATATCGAAAGATACATGATCGCCTAAGCGTGTATCCCGCATAACACAAAACTGAACTGAGTGGGAAAGTGACACAAGCCGTGATGCCACGTCAGTACCTGTGATATTACGGATTATTCTTTGGGTTTTATCAAATACCACTAAATAGATAGGAGGAGCTCCAGACCTTATGTGGGAGCAATATTTTATTCATGGACGAATGGTAGATTTGTAAATATGTAAGACAGATTCGGACTAGAAAAGTTAGTCCGATTATGAGGCACAATTAACTTTCGAATTGTCCAGGTTGATAGAAGGCAGAAAATATTCTATTAGATTATTCATAGAGCAGGTCGGTTTTTGAGTCGTTAAAAATAACAAGTTATCCTTTGTCCCGGTTAACAACAGACTGTGTGTCATTTTTGAGATCAGCTGCCAAATTAACTTTACTGGACCAATCTAAGGCAAAATGAACAGAGAAACGGCAAATAACCTATGTAACTACTTTATGTAAATAGGACGCGAAGCAATAAATGTGAGATTGCAAGGAGATGAATATTACTAAGAGCAACAGAAGACATGTTCTGAAGGCAAACGTCTCATAAAAGAAGAAAATAGTAATAGTGAGATTAATATAGTGCAGCGATTTCTCCAGGCTGGAATACAAAAATAGAGATGGCTTGTTAGCTGGGTTACAAATAACGTATTAGCTTTGCTTGTGTTCTGCTCAAACGGATTTGTTTTTATTATGATAATGACTTACCGTTTTCAGTTATAATTTTCCTTTTATCAATTTCTTTCTTGTACTTGTGTTATTTTTGTTTTATTTCAAATGGAGGCAGATTTTCTGAATACTTGGTTTCTTTCCTCTTTTTAATCTCCTTTGGTGAGTAGTCCTTGACGAAAACCCTCTTTTTCAAATTCCTTTCACCTAGTAGTATATTCAGTAATTGTTTTTCTTTGTTTATAAATTATTTCAAGTTTTACTGGAATGTTTTCAGTATATAACTGCCAGGTTGCTTTTGCTGCCTCATCTTTCAAACTTAAAATATTGCACTTAACACCCAGGCATGATGCTCCTCACTACCTCTCATGAACATAGATGCACATTACGTCTCTGCCTCGAAAATATGCCTAATCTGTTCAAGTCGTATACACATCTGTGTTAAGGAACTAGATATTTATTACAGGCTATATTAATTAAGCATGACAATATATGTCTATAAGTAAACCTCCAATTAGTTAAAATCAGATGGCAGCCTTGTGATATAATGGAATTTATTATTATTATTATTAGTTGAGCTTTGTGATATAATGGAATTTTCTTCTTATTCTTCTTCTTATTATTCTTCTTCTTCTTACTATTCTTATTCTTATTCATCTTATTATTCTTATTATTCTTATTATTCTTCTTCTTATTATTATTATTTTTCTTATTATTATTATTTTTTTCTTATTATTTTTCTTATTATTATTTTTTTTATTTCTTATTCTTATTTTTTCTGCTTATTCTTATTTTTCTGCTTATTCTTATTTTTTTCTGCTTATTTTTTCTTCTTATTATTTTTTCTTATTTTTTCTTTTTTCTTATTCTTTATTTTTTCTTATTATTATTTTTTTTCTTATTATTATTTTTCTTCTTATTTTTTTTTCTTCTTATTATTTTTTTTTCTTCTTCTTATTTTTCTTCTTCTTATTTTTTTCTTTTTATTATTTTTCTTTTTTTCTTCTTATTATTATTTATTTTTTTCTTCTTATTTTTCTTATTATTATTTTTCTTAATATTCTTATTATTTTTTTCTTCTTATTCTTATTTTTTCTTATTATTATTTCTTATTCTTATTATTTTTTCTTATTATTTTTTTCTTATTATTTTTTTTTATTATTTTTTTTTTCTTCTTATTTTTTTCTTCTTATTTTTCTTTTTCTTCTTTTTTTTTCTTATTCTTCTTCTTATTTTTTTTTTATTCTTATTTTTCTTCTTCTTATTCTTCTTATTTTATTCTTCTTCTTATTCTTCTTCTTATTCTTTTTCTTATTCTTCTTCTTCTTCTTATTATTATTTTTCTTCTTTTCTTATTCTTTCTTTTTCTTCTTTTTCTTATTTTATTTTTTCTTATTCTTTTTTTTTTTTTCTTTTTTTTCTTATTTTTTATTCTTCTTCTTATTTTTTTCTTTTCTTATTTTTTCTTCTTATTTTTTTCTTCTTCTTATTTTCTTCTTCTTATTCTTATTTTTTCTTCTTCTTATTCTTATTTTTTTTCTTATTCTTTTTTTATTTTCTTCTTATTTTTTCTTATTTTTTTTTCTTCTTATTTATTCTTATTTTTTTCTTATTTTTTTCTTTTCTTTTTATTCTTTTTTTTTCTTCTTATTTTTCTTCTTTTTCTTCTTTTTTCTTATTTTTTCTTTTCTTTTTTTTCTTCTTATTTTTTTTCTTCTTATTTTTCTTCTTATTCTTCTAATTCTTATTTTTCTTTAATTCTTCTTATTCTTATTTTTTCTTATTTTTTTTCTTTTTCTTTTTTCTTCTTCTTATTTTCTTTTCTTCTTCTTTTCTTATTTTTTCTTTTTTTTCTTCTTCTTATTCTTTTCTTATTCTTATTTTTCTTCTTCTTCTTTTTTTTCTTCTTTTCTTATTTTTTCTTCTTATTTTCTTTTCTTATTTTTATTTTTTCTTATTTTTTCTTCTTATTATTTTTCTTATTCTTATTTTTTCTTTTCTTATTATTATTTTTTTTTTTTCTTCTTTTATTTTATTCTTTTCTTATTTTTTCTTCTTATTATTATTTTTCTTCTTATTCTTATTTTTCTTCTTATTCTTATTTTTCTTCTTATTCTTATTTTTCTTCTTATTCTTATTTTTTCTTCTTATTCTTATTTTTCTTATTTTCTTCTTATTATTTTTCTTCTTATTATTCTTATTTTTTTCTTCTTATTATTTTTCTTATTATTATTTTTCTTCTTCTTATTATTTTTCTTATTATTATTTTTTTCTTTATTCTTCTTATTTTTTCTTTATTATTTTATTTTTCTTTATTTTTCTTCTTATTCTTATTTTCTTCTTATTCTTATTTTCTTATTTTTCTTATTATTTTTCTTCTTATTATTCTTATTTTTCTTATTCTTATTTTTTTCTTCTTCTTTTCTTCTTATTTTTTCTTCTTATTTTTTTCTTCTTCTTCGTGATATTCTTAATGGAATTTATTATTATAATTTTTCTTATTTGATTTTTCTTCGCAAACAATTTTCTTCTTATTTTCTTTTTTTCTTATTCTTATTTTTCCAATTTTTCTTCTTAATTTTATTCTTTTTCTTCAAAAACCTTCTTATTCTTATTTTCGGGTTATATTTTTCTTCTTATTCATCTTGATTAGAGAAATCTTATTCTTATTTTTCTTATTCGATTCAGTTCCATTTTTCTTCTTTTTCGAATTTTCTTCTTATTTTTCTTCTTCTTATTTTTCTTCTTATTTTTTTTATTTTTTTTCTTATTCATTCTTCTTATTTTTATCATTTTTCTCTTCTTATTTTTCTTATTTTTTTCTTCTAATTCTTATTTTGGGGATTCTTATTTTCTTCTAATTCTTATTTTTCTTCTAATTCTTATTTTTTCTTTAATTCTTATTTTTTCTTATTTGGACTTCTTATCTTATTTTTTCTTCTTATTCTTATTTTTTCTTATTTTCTTCCTTCTTATTTTCTTTTTTTCTTCTTATTCTTATTTTCTTCTTTTTTCCTTCTTATTCTTTTATTTTTTTCTTCTTCTTCTTATTTTCTTCTTTTTTTTTTCTTCTTCTTATTTTTCTTCTTTTTTTTCTTCTTATTTTTCTTTTTTTCCCTTATTCATGAATTCTTTTTTCTTCATTCTTATTTTCTTCTTTCTTTTATTATTTTTTCTTCTTAGGTTTTTCTTTTTTATTTTATTTTTCATTTATTTCTTATTCTTTTTTATTTTTCTTCTTATTTTTCTTTTTTCTTCTTATTTTTCTTCTTATTTTTTATTATTTCTTTCTTTTTTCTTTTCTTATTTTTTCTTCTTCTTCTTATTTTCTTTTTTTCAACTTCTTATTTTCTTATTTTTCTTTTTTTAACCAAAGACTTCTTATTATTCTTCAATATTTTTCTTCTTAATTCTTATTTTTCTTCTTATTCTAATTTTTCTTCTTCTTATTCTAATTTTTCTTCTTATTATTCTTATTTTCTTCTTCAATTTTCAGAAGATATTTTTCTTTTGAAATTATTATTTTTATTTTTCTATGTTCATTTTACTTCAATTTTTCTTATTTTCTTATTCTTATTTTCTTCTTAATTTTTCCCTTTTTTTCTTTTTGTTAGCTGTTTTTCTTAAGAACTTATTTTCTTCTTTTTTTTATTAATTTTCTTCTTCTTATTCTTATTTTTCTTATTCTTACCAATTTTTCTTCTTATTTTCTTATTCTTATTTTCAGAATTTTTCTTCAATTATTTTCGAGGATTTTTTTCCATTTTATTCTTATTTTTCTTCTTATTTTAAAATTTTGATTTTTTCTTCTTAATTTTTCTTCTTATTCAATTTTTTTTTTATTCTTATTCCTTATTCACCTTCCAAGATTCTTGGATTTTTCTTCTTCTTTTCTTATTCTTAGTCTGCAGGATTCTTATTTTGTTCTTCTTATTTTTCTTATTCTTTTTTCCTTCTTATTCTTATTTTTCTTTTCTTCTTCTTTTTTCTTCTTATTCTTTTTTCTTATTTTTCTTCTTATTGATATTTTTTCTGATTATTCTTATTTTTTTGAATATCTTATTTTTTTTTCTTATTCTTATTCTTATTTTTTTTTCTTATTCTTATTTTTCTTCTTCTTATTCTTATTTTTAACTTATTTTTCTTCTTCAATTGTAACATTTTTTATTCTTATTTTCTTCACCAGTTCTTCTTATTCTTATTTTTCTTCTTATTTTTTGTATTCTTATTTTTCTTATTTTTTCTTATTCTTATTTTGGAGATTTTATTCTTATTCTTATTTTTCTTCTTAACCCTTAATTTTTTTTATATTCTTATTTTTCTTGGATTTTCTTCTTCTTATTCTTATTTGATGCAATTTATTTTTTGGAATTATTATTATTCGCATCTTTTTTTTCATTCTTTTTTTCTTCTTTTTTCTTGTTCTTATTTTTTATTCTTCTTATTCTTCTTTTTTCTTCTTATTTATTTTTATTTCTTGAGCCCGTGATATAATTTATTTATTTTCATTATTTGATCTAATTTTTTTTTCAAAAACCTGCTTTTCTTATTCATTTTCATTTGTCTTATTCAGTTGCGTCTCCTTCTTGTTCTCATTCCCCTTACATTTTCTCATTCTTATTCTTCATTATTCTTCACATTGTTCATGTATTTTATTTCTTCTTCTACACTTTCTTGTTTTTTATTATTTCTTTGGTTTCGTCTGCATACTCATTTCCTTTTCTTCTCAATTCACAAATAGCATCCTCATTTTTCTTGTTCACATCCTTCTGTATTTTAAGAACATTTTTTTTTTTTTTTTTTGTCTTCATTTTTGAAATTATTTCTTAATTCAATTTTTTTTTTTGTCCTTCTTTTTTCGTCCTCTTATTGTTCTTATTCTATGTCTCTCACCAGTTCATATCAATTTTTCCCAATTATTTTCAATTATTCTCTTCTGATTCTTTTTTTTCTCTTATCTTTTTCTTATTCTTTTTTTCTTATTTTCATTTTTTATTTTATTTATTCTCTTCTTCTTTTTTTTTATTTTTTTCTTTTTTCTTCTTATTGTTCATTTTCATTTTTTTCTTCCTTCTTCATTTTCCTCTTATTCATTTTTCTTTTCTTCTTTTTTGTTTTATTCTTTTTTCTCATTATTCTTCTTTGTTGTTCTTATTCTTCTTTTTCATTCATCTTGTTCACATCCTTCTTGTCTTTTTCTTTTTGTACTTCTTTTCTTCTCCCTCTTGTTTTTGTCCTTCTTCTCGTCCTCTTATTCTTCTTATTTCTCTCGTCTTATTCTTTTTCTCTTCTTCATTCTTTTCTCGTTTTCTTATTCTCTCTCGTCTTATTCTTATTCTCTCTCGTCTTATTCTTATTCTCTCTCGTCTTATTCTTATTTTTTTCTTATTCTTTCTCTCTCTTCTTATTCTTTTCTCTTTCTTCTCCATCTTCTTTTTTCTCTTTCTTCACTCTTTTTCTCTTTCTTCACTCTTTTTCTCTTTCTTCTCTCTTTTTCTCTTTCTTCTCTCTTTTCACACTTCTTCTCTTTCTTCTCTCTTTTCACACTTCTTCGTCGTCGTCTTTCTACTCTTTCGTCTTGTCTTTCTTTTTATCGCTTTTCCTTAAATCCTTTAGGGAATCATTAACCGAAGCCAAGTGTAAAGGCCCGTAGCAAAAATATGTCTTGTGTTTGCACAAACGTACCTTGTTTATATTTTATTTCAATCCATCATATTCTCTTGAGTAGACAAGCAATTCCCCACTGTACCATATTTGAATCTGTTTCAAACAATTGCCAGAAAATGGCAACCGCCAGAAATCTTGTTAATTACCTTTCTTGATCTTACTCACTTATCCGAAGTGTAAGACGTGTTTGGCGTTGATATAATTTCTCTGAAATTTTAATTTACATACGTTTACTTGTCTTATATTTAATAGATATATCTTATCCATTGCCTTAGCTACATTGATGAGAACGCAAGTATTCTTCATAATCATTGATCACTTTGTCAGCTAAATTAGGTTTTATATATCTATCACTAGGTATTGGGAAATTGCATTGAATTCTATCACTGTTTTTCGTTACTATTACTCTGATAAATTTTGATAGTATTTTTTTTTTTTTTTTAGTACGGACATAATCATTAACAATGATTAATAAATATGAAAGATGTTTTGTTTCTTTCTTTGTTTTTATAATGGCGAAAGTAGAATTTGAAGGCTGCAAAGCAAATTTGCGTTAAGGAGAGAAAATTACTGAAAAGTGGTGGAAAATTAATGAAAAATGCCAATAAATAAAGAGAGATGCCTATATGAAGATTGAAAGGAAATTGAAGATAAATAATTTCAGACTCTCAATTGTTTTATATATTTATGTTTTTGCAGTGCAAGTGTGAAATAACATAATTGTACTTTATACACATATACACCTATGCTGTTATATATATATATATATATATATATATATATATATATATATATGAAGAATTAATAATGAATGTCCTTGAGTAACACCTCTCAAATGTTATATTCGTACACAAACACACACACACACACATATATATATAATGAGAAGGTAGGCATGGAAATCAAAACTTAATGATATCTGGCATATTCACGCATTACGGGATACTCAGGACATCTGCTACTCTCCAGATGTACGGGATCCCTGCCTGTCCATTTCAAAATCCACACTGCATCTACAAATGCTATATTCCCAATATCGAGCAAACTTCACCATAAATGGAACATATTTATTATTATTAGTAGTAGTAGTATCATCATCTTCCCCTCACCGCTAGCACGATTCTGATTGTCTTGCACAATGCAATATTTAGGTGTTGAGTTAAGACTGATTTAACTCCGCACCTGAAGATATTTTTGTCCATAAAGTTCAGTTGTGCTACCAATAAAGAACATATATAGTTCATCGAAGCTTTCATCCCTTTATTATATGAACCCCGAAAACGACAGATTAAATTATTATTACACAAGCCATAAATTATTTCATTATGAAATATTCGAATGATCAACTGAAAGTGTTGGTGTGACAGACATTTTGATCAAACATGGTGGCTTTATTAGTCAGTAGAAATATGACAACAAAAGTCTCTGATATATTTACTAACGTGTGATATCTATCTATTTATCTATGGAAGATATACAAATCCAGTTATCGGATTGTTAATAGATAAACGACTCATAGATATAAAAAAAAAAAAAGCTGTACTCCCAATTGACGTTTTTCTTAATGCGAAAGATTTTTTCTTCAAATTTATAATGACTTTATCGATGAAGTCAGGTACACACACACACACACACACACACACACACATATATATATATATATATATATATATATATATATATATATATAGGAAAAGATGTGAGACAGAAATAAACCGAATACTAATATTAATTTTTTTTCTGCTGAATGTAGAGGTTTAAATTGGCCGATCTAATTTACTATTTGATTGATGTTTTTTTTAAATTTTATTTTCATCACTATTGATTTTAGTAATACGATATGGCGTCAACAGTAGTTTTCTAATAAAAAAAATGTAACTGTGAATGAATCTACTTATAGTTTTGCATTAATGATGATATAATCCATTACCTCAGAAGGAAACTTGGATTTCATTGACGGAGCAGCCAGTAATTTATAAAATCTTTCTCTTAACAAAATTTCCCGTAATATATTTCCTTTCGTCCAGTAGCTGTTATCGCTCTTTCTTCCTGGCGAAGTAGTGTGGAATGTGAACATATTATGTCATTTTTTTTCTCTTTGAGTCACAAGGGCTATACATTTTAGCTGTCACAGCTGCTGAAGTGATGTGATTTCTGCTATTTAGTTCAGTTCTTTTTGATTCTCTAGTGCCAATCTACAAGGTTCGAAGAAATATGGTATTCAGCAAGTCGTATAAAATTCACTTGCTCAAAGTAATTTTTATTCCAATGATTTAAGAAAGAGGTTGTATACAGCAAATAGATTTGAGCTATCTAAAATGACTTTGAGCCATGCATGGCATTCGTATGAAATTCTCGATCTGACGAGGTTATTTAAGAACGTGACTCTAGTTTCCAGATTAATATTTAGTTTTTTTTTTTTTGTGAGTTATTTTTTATGAAAATGAGTTCAGTTACTTTACATTTTCCACTTAATAAAATATTTTCGCTTTTAGTTATATATGTGTATGTCTACACACATATATATATATATATATATATATATATATATATATATATATATATGTGTGTGTGTGTGTGTAGCAGTATTCCGATAGTTAGCAGAAAAAAGTTTATTTGAAAAATATATATATATATATATATATATATATATATATATTACATAGATCATAATACCACTCAATAGGCGATATATATATATATATATATATATATATATATATATATATATATATATAAGGGATCAGTTCGACATTCCAACCACCTGAAGAAGGCAGAAGCGTACAACGGCAGAAACGTTGTGATAAATATAGCAAGAAAGATGAGGACAATAGTCCGAATAATGTAAATAGTGTACATATCACCTCATCTCATAAAATATAGATAATGCATTTTTTTTTGTTACTTATTCTATGTATGACTGACAAGGATTTATTTATTAAAAACACTTTATGATTTTTTTTTTTTTTTTTTTTTTTTTGAAATATAAAATATTATTTTTGTTCTTTTCAAATTTTACATAACTAATATCTATCACATAAGTCTTTTACTGTAATTTTTCTTATTTTCTTACTATGTTCAGTCAGTTTGATGGAGCATCTTGTATTTTATGATATATGACTGACGAAGCCGAAGACTTTTCCTGCAGTAGCTTTCCATCCAAGGCAAAAATATTCAGTATGTCCTGTTATTTAACCCATACCTGGGGAAGAACAGTTAGATTCATGCATTTCTCATGGATAGTTGTGCGTATAACGAAATCGACAGAATTCGAACTCGGCTCCGCTAGTTCTCATTTCCAGCCAGCATCCATTACACCACAGCGAATATTCACCTTATTATATTAACGACTACAAATATCTATTCAACTTTATAAATTTCGACTTACTAACTTGTGTAGCCATTCTTTCTAGAATTATTTTTTCGTTTGAGTCAATAGCATTCTGAATATTATCTATATGGGGTGAGCAGCCATAATTGTTGCCATCTATTGTTTTTGTTTTACAGACACAGTATCTGCACACCGTACATGCCCATCTTCGTACATAATCCTGTAGCTGGGTATTGAAAATAGAGTTGTCATTCTTATCAATCGCCAACTACGAATCTTCCCTACTATTTAAACCGTAGATGGGTCTGGAGAATATATCAATTTCTACGATTCGCATTAGACTATGTGGACATGATTTAAAATTTTTATTACTTATAAACATTTTATTTTTGGTGATTTTAACACCCATCATACCAATTATATTTGGTTAACTTTATTGCCTGAAAAACAAGACCGCTTTCTATTACTCACCAGAGAGAAGCATTCCTGTTTCCAATTAGAATGTCTGACGCTCAACTCCAAGAGAGCACCTCTTTGCGACTGCACGGTCTAACATTGTCTGCTAACCTTAGATGGAAAGGATACACCGAATCAATAGCTTCGTCCACCGCAAGGAAAATCGGCTCCCTGTGCCGAACCAGGAAATTTTTCTCGCCGGAGTCAATCCTTCAAATCTACAAATCAACGATTCGCCCTTGTATGGTGTATTGCTGCCATATATGGTCTGAAGCCCCTTCTGTTTGTCTTACGGTCCTTGATAAAATCCAAAGACTGATATGCAATATAATTGGCCCTGATCTAGAATCTCGTCTGCAGTCG